GAGAGAGAGAGAGAGAGAGAGAAAGAATAAGAAAGAGAGAGAGAGAGAGAGAGAGAAAGAGAGCGAGAGAGTGAGAGAAAGAAAGAAAGAAAGAGAGTGAGAGAAATAAAGTAAGAAAGAAAGAAAGAGAGATAGAGATAGAGAAGAGAGCTTTACTTACAAGGAAAAGCTGATGTTGACATTCGCGAGCGACGCATTTGGTAGCTGCATGATTCCGTTGCTCTCCAGGTAGCTAAACAATAGAAGAACATAGGAATAAAAAATACAAGAAGAAGGATATGAAATAAAAGAATACGGATAGAAAATAGAAAAATATGGGGGATAGAAAATAGAAGAATAAGGATATGAAATAAAAGAATAGGAATGAATAATAGGGATAGAAAATCATAGGGCAATACATATAGAACGTTTACGCATACAACGTGTTGGTAAAACGATGGGATATCACCATATAGATCAATAGAGCTGCCATATGTAGTCTGTTAAATTGAGCACGAGTGGGCCGTCAACTGCTGCAATAGCTACACTGTTTTCCGACGAGTTTTTTGCGATGCGGCGTTGTACTGTGACGGTCCCTTACACTGATCGTAGTAATTAAACAGATTCGTATTTTTAGTTCTTCAGTCGCTGAGAAGCAATATCGCATGATAGCACCTTAATTGCAATTTGCGCAAAAAAGCTAAAAGCTAGCGAATTTTGCACAGAGGAGAGATAGTGATCCGCTAGGGGACGGCTCTGATTGGCTAATTTTGTCTCTTATTTATTTTATTTTTTATTATTTTTGGCGAATTTTGTTTTATTTTAGAATTAAGGATAGGGTTAGGGTTAGGGTTAGGGTTAGGGTTAGGATTAGGATTAGGGTTAGGATTAGGGTTAGGGTTAGGGTTAACTGATTTCTATATCCACAACTTATTTCTATATTCACTATCTCTCCCCTGAGACCTACTAAAAGCTAGCGGATATTTTTTTTAATCTCTTTCTAAATTCGGAGAAGATTCGAATCGTAAACGTCGTCATCGTTATCCGCAGGTAATTATTTCTTTATAGAAAGAGATGCGGTCATGTGCGTGATGCGCACCCAGCCGCAATGGTCATTGGCAACGTAAATGTTTTCCCTAAAATTACGAAAATACGAACCCTAATCCTAATCCTAATAATAACCCAGAAGGTTTCAACTCAGCCATCGGGCAAAGATGGCTTCTCACATTTACTAGAAAAATATCTACTTACATTTGTGCACTATTCCACGGCATCGTCTCTGCTGCTCGCGTCCACGCGAGTGGCGCCACCTGGCTACAGTTTACGGTGATGCCATATTCGAACATCTTCGTCGTACACTCACAGCCTTGGGGGCAGATGGAGGCTACACACGGTAGCAGTAGCAGCAGCAGCAGCAGCAGCGGTTGAAGCAGCGCCGTCTTATATTCTCCTTCTCCTCCTTCTCCTCCTTCTCCTCCTTCTACTCTTCCTCCTCCTTCTCCTCCTCCTCTTCCTCCTCCTCGTCGTCTTCTTTTTTCTTCTTTTTTTCCTCCTCTTCTTACTTCTCTTCTTCTTGATCCGTCTCCTCCTCCTCCTCCCTCTCCTCCTACACCTCCTCCTCCACCTTCACCTCCTCCTCCTTCTCCTCTTCCTCCGCCTCCTCCTCCTCTACCTCCACTTCCTCTTCTTGATCCTCCTCCACCTACTCCTTCTCCTCCACCTCCTCCCTCTCCTTCTCCTCCTCCTTGTCCCTGTTCTCCTGCTTCTCGGCCACCGCCAGCTGAAGCTTCTCTCACACACAGTGAGTGCATGAGCGACGCCACCACCACCTCCACCACCGCCTCCAGCCTCCCGATCTTAGAATCCTGCATTCGCTTGTCGGCGCAAGATGATGCGAAGTCGGTCGCAGCTTCGACGGACGTCCTGTGCGCGCATGCGCGGGAGATCGCCGCCGCCGCGCGCGCGTGACTCGTCCGATTGCACGTGTCGGCAGTCGACGCACGCACGCGTATATTAACGCACGCACGCACGCGTATACTAACGCACGCACGCACGCGTGTACGAACGCATGCACGCACGCGTGTACGAACGCACGGACGCACGCGTCTACGAACGCACGCACGCACCCTTCTACGAACGCACGCACGCACGCGTGTACGGACGCACGCGTCTACAAACGCACGCACGCACGCGTGTACGAACGCACAGACGCACGCGTCTACGAACGCACGCACGCTCGCGTGTACGTACGCACGCACGCACGCGTCTACGAACGCGTGTAGCAAACGCACGCACGCACGCGTCTACGAACGCACCGCACGGCGCCTACGAACGCACGCCGCAGCGCGTGACGAACGCACAGACGCACGCGTCTACGAACGCACGCACGCACGCGTGTACGTACGCCACGCACGCAAGCGCACGCGTCTACGGACCGCACGCCCGCTTACGACGCACGGGTCGTAGGTCACATCGCTTTGTCGATCGGTGCGCTTCTACGAATGCTAAATATATAGCGAACGAATGCGATATCGCGGGCGAATAGAGACGAATGAGATGTGAAATCCCTACTAGCTGTCTCGGTGCGTTAGCTCGCGATGGTTGTAAGATTCCGTTGTCGTATTCCGTCACGAAGGTACTCGCCTCTAGCCTCCCGATCTTAGAATCCTGCATTCGCTTGTCGGCGCAAGCTTATGCAAAGCCGGCCGCGGCTTCGACGACGTCCTGCGCGCAGTGCGCGGAGATCGCCGCCGCCGCGCGCGCGTGACTCGTCCGATTGCAGCGGTGTCGGCAGTCGACGCACGCAGCGCGTATATTAACGCACACACGCACGCGTATACTAACGCACGTACGCACGCGTCTACGGAGACACGAACGCGTGTACGTACGCACGCACGCACGCGTCTATGAACGCACGAACGCGTGTACGTACGCACGCACGCACGCGTGTACGTACGCACGTACGCACGCGTCTATGAACGCACGCACGCACGCGTGTACGAACGCACGCACCACGCGTGTATGAACGCACGCACCACGCGTGTACGAACGCACGCACCACGCGTGTACGAACGCACGCACGCAGCGGTTTACAACGCACGCACGCACGCGTCTACGAACGCGACGCGTTACGCACGCGTCGTGTACGAACGCAGCACGCACGCGTTACGACGCACGCACGCAGCGTCTACGAACGCCACGCACGCACGCGTCTACGAACGCACGCACGCACGCGTGTACGAACGCACGGACGCTACGCGTCTACGAACGCACGCACCGCACCGCGTCTACGAACGCACGCGCACGCACAGCGTCACGCACGCGCACGCGCACGACGCACGGTCTACGAACGCACGCCGCCGGTCTACAAACGCACGCACGCACGCGTGACGAAGCGCACGGACGCACCGTCTACGAACGCACGCACGCAGCGTCTACGAACGCACGCACGCACGCGTCTACGAACGCCGCACGCACGCACGCGTCTACGAACGCACGAACGCACGAACGCACAGGGGTCGTGGTCACATCGCTTTGTCGATCGGTGCGCTTCTACGAATGATAAATATATAAGCGAACGAATGCGATATCGCGGGCGAATAGAGAACGAAGATGTGTGAAATCGCTACTAGCTGTCTCGGTGCGTTAGCTCGCATGGGTTTGTAATATCCGTTGTCGTATTCCGTCACGAAGCGTACTCGCCTCTAGCCTCCCGATCTTAGAATCCTGCATTCGCTTGTCGGCGCAAGCTTATGCAAAGCCGGCCGCAGCTTCAACTGACGTCCTGTGCGCGCATGCGCGGGAGATCGCCTCCGCCGCGCGCGCGTGACTCGTCTGATTACACGTGTCGGCAGTCGACGCACGCACGCGTATACTAACGCACGCACGCACGCGTCTACGGAGGCACGAACGCACGCGTCTACGAACGCACGAACGCGTGTACGTACGCACGCACGCACTCGTGTACGTACGCACGCACGCACGCGTGTACAAACGCACGCACGCACGCGTCTACGAACGCACGCACGCGTCTACGAAGCGCACGCACGCACGCTGTACGAACGCACAGACGCACGCGTCTACGAACGCACGCACGCACGCGTGTACGAACGCACGCACGCACGCGTCTACGAACGCACGCACGCACGCGTAAACGTACGCACGCACGCACGCGTCTACGAACGCACAGGGGTCGTGGTCACATCGCTTTGTCGATCGGTGCGCTTCTACGAATGCAAAATATATAGCGAACGAATGCGATATCGCGGGCGAATAGAGACGGATAAGATGTGAAATCCCTACTAGCTGTCTCGATTTGTTGCTTCCAATTATGTAGGTATATATTAACGCACGCTCGAACGCTACGCACACGCGCGCACACACGAGAGAAAGCGCAGGTGCGTGCATGCGAAAAGAGCCGTTACAGTACGTATCCTCGGTCTCTCGCCACTGCGAAGACTGGTGATAAAAATATAAATATGTATATATATATAAATATGCATATATAAGTCACAACACTCTCACCTGAATACGTAAACGTACACACACACGCACGCACGCTCGCTCGCACACACACATACGCACGCACGCACGCACGCATGTACACACACACACACACGCACGCACGCACGCATGCACACACACACACACACACACACACACACGACGCGGGTGCGCGCAGGCGAAAGGACACTTTACAGCATCCACGATCTACCGCCGCTGCGTAGATATGTGATAGATAGATATATATATCAATATGTATATATTATATATATATATATATATATATATATATACATATGTATATATGTATATATAAGTCGTGACACTCGCACCTAAGTCGTAGACACGTCTGCGTAGATATGTGATATCAGGAGCGTATAATGACAAATACGTATTTGTCACGTATAATGACAAGTACGTATGAAAGTACGTATACAAGTACGTATACAAGTATATTTGTCACGTATAATGACAAGTACGTATAAAAAATACGTATTTGTCATTATACGCTCCTGGTGATATATATATTATTATTTCTTCTCATTATTTCTTGTACGTGTGTCATACTGTAGTATTTCTAGCACTGTCAGTTCCTATTTCACGCGGTATTTTTAAGCAGTTCAGCTAGGCTGCGTTCTGCTCGTTTACATTATGTTTATTCACGTGACTCGCGAGTTTCCTTGTCGCGTTATAAAAGTTGTTCTGTTGTCGCGTCTGTTGTGTGTGTCGTGCCCTTTTTCTGCTTGAGCCGTATTTATACGTTCGCGTTCGCTCGCGCATTCCTTCCACGATGCACCATACATTGTAAGTGTTGTATTGTACATTGTGCGCTGTAATTAACCAGTGGCGCTTCTAGCCAGGCGAGGCAGTGGGACTAATTGTCCTGTTCGTTGTTCGTTGTAGTTTTTGTAATGACACGGGACGTAGGGCGCGATATATATGCGCAAACTGCATGCAGTGCCCCTTCGTACACGCAGTGAATTGAGCGAGAGCGAGAGCGCCATCTGTCGTGGAGTTTGATATATGCGTAGCCTCATGCGTCTCCTAGCCCCGCCAAGGTCCGGTCGGTAATGACGAAAAACCGGTCGGATCCAAATGTCGTCGAGCTGTTTTTAGAAGCGTATAAATAGATACGCTCAGATAGAGAGAAGAGAGTATCAGGAGACGTACGTGAGTCATATACGATGTAGAAAGCCAGAAAGGACAGACGCCAGGCGGATTCCAATATGGACGAAACCTAGGCTGTCGTATGTAGTATATGTATGTGAATATTTTGTATGTGTTCGAGTGACTAAATAAATCAGTCTTCAATAACAACCTGCTACGATGGATCATCTCTCTACTGGTCATCACACGACTACGCTGCTACTCTACGCTGTCGACGCTACAGATCCTACACGGAGATCTTCAGCACTTTCGCATTACAAGATAAGTGTTGTCTCTTGGTTCTCGCCTAATTTTTTATAATTTGGATCTTTATTATTTAACCTTAGATAAAATGAACATTACATGACATGAGCGACATAATATTTAGTGTGCATTATTTTGTATTTACAGTTTTACCTGCACGTGTGAAGCTACATCACGTGTTGAGTAATAAATTTGGAGCGTATGAAAAAAATGCCGAGTTGTGAAATATTGGTTAACACGCACGGAATGTAACATATATAATATATATATGTATATACATATGTATATATGTAAATATATATATATATATATGTAAATATATATATATATATATATATCAAGAGTGCATAATAGAGAAGAGTATGACACGGTTTTAACAGCGTTTTGCATAGTTTTCAACTTGTAAATACTCTATCAATATGTATTGTAATAA